GTACACGTATGCATAGCTGGTGCTACAAATACATAACTATATGTATATAACTGTACATGTGTATACTGCGCCATGCGCGCGGGACGCCCGCGCTTCGGTTCTAGCCCAGCCCATGATGATGTGATGACACGAAGCTCAGGGTTTGCAAGCGACTCGCTGTCGGCGAAGTGTTGCGACCGTCCTGGGCCGGTGATGGGATGTCCCAGGGCTTCCTTGGGCCGGCTTTGGGGCTGTTTAGGCCCTGTCTGGGGGGGGGCAGGTGTCTTCGGCCCCAATGACGCCGTCCAGGCTTGCCAGACCGTTGTCACGACGCGCAAGCCTTGGCTTGAGGGCTCATTGGTGTGATCGTTGAACAGCTTTGTAGCATTGACTGGCTTTCTAATGAAATTGACGCCAGCTGGCGGAGCACATACAAAACCCTTTCCTGGTCGCACCGGCAGGGCCGCAAGTTCGACGACTTTGCCTTCATGGCTGAAGAGCTTTCGAGCCACCTCCAGCTGTCCTTCGCCATTCTTTGAGCCTCTTGGACGGACGCATGCCGGAGATGCGGTCTTGGGCGTCTTTGGGAGCCGTCTTGGAACCCTCTTGGGGGCTTGCATGGTCATCTTGGAAGTCTCTTGGGGCCGGTTTGGGGGGCCTCCTGGGCTGTTTTCGGGCCCTCTCTGAGGGCCTTGCCGAGGCCGTCTGGAGCCCATCGTGTGCCGTCTTGGAGCCTTATTGGGCGGTCGGAAGCCAGGAACAGCGAAATCTTTCTGCGTCGGCGGCTAGGCAGAGTAACTGCGCTGGCGGAAGAGCCAACTAAACGGGGAGGAGGAGGAGGAGGAGGAGGAGGAGGAGGAGGAGGAGGAGGAGGAGGAGGAGGAGGAGGAGGAGGAGGAGGAGGAGGAGGAGGGGGAGGAGGAGGAATTGTGCCACAGTGCACGCAAGCTATAAAAAAAAGGGGGGAGGGCGGCCGAAGGAGGGGGGCGGAGGAGCGAGGGCCGCTCCGGGAGAGCAGCGAAAAGGCGCAAAAATCCTTCCGACACCTCGGCAACAGCAACGTGTCTGGCCTCGTCGGAGCCTCCTTTTGGGGCGCGCTGGGGGCTCGCCTCCTCCTCCTCCTCCCTCCTTCCTCCTCCTCCTCCTCCTCCTCCTCCTCCTCCTCCTCCTCCTCCTCCTCCTCCTCCTCCTCCTCCTCCTCCTCCCTCCTTGGGTGTCCTGGGGACCTCTTTGAGCTGTATCCTGAGCGCTCTGGGTGCCCTTTTGGGGCTGTCTTCGGCTCGTTTTGGTTCCTCTTGGGCGGTTTTGGGGGTGCCTTGGGCTGTCTTGGAGGCCTGCTGGGCCGTCTCGAGGCCTTTTGGAGGCCCCGGGGAGGGGGTATCAGAAACGGTGGCGAGATGGTAGCGAGGTGCGTCCTCGGGCGAGGATCGAGGTCAGACGTTGTTCTGCCTTCGGGGGCACTCGTCGTCGCCTCGGCTGGACGCGCCTCGAAGCGACGTTTTTTGTTCCGAGGGAGTGCAGGACGAGGACGGGTAGGGAGATGAGGCAGGAGCATCAAAAGCAGTTGGAGCAGCAGTTGGGCCGCCTTGAAGCCGTCGTTTCGGCGTCTCGGGAATGTCGTTAGGACGTCTTGAGCTCACAACACCGTCCGCACTTAGGATGATTGGTGTTTGGAACTCGTTACGGCAGGTTCGTGTCGTGCCGACCCCAGCGTTGGTTTTTGACACCGCAGGGATCGTTCAACCTTGAACGCTCGGCCGATGCCGCAACGTCCGATCGTTCAACATCGATCGATTCTGGGTCGCCGGCGGCGTTCAACCTTGAACGTCCGCGCTGGGGTCGCCGCTGGTCGACACGACGCAAGCCTACCGTACGTGATGACACACGAGAACCAAACGAACATCTATGCATTTAGCGTCTCCGGGCCTTCCTGGGTGTCCTCTTGGGGCCTATGTTGGTCACCTCACGCCCCCTCGAGCCGTCGGGGGACCCTTTTTTGGGGCGTCTTGGAGGGCTTCGGCTGTCTTGGAGCCTTGTTGGGGCCATCTTGGAGGAGGAGGAGGAGGAGGAGGAGGAGGACGGGGAGGAGGAGGAGGAGGAGGAGGAGGAGGAGGACTCTCGAGGCCCTCTTTGGACCTCTCTTGAAACCATTTGGGACCTTCTGGGCCTTCTTCGGGTCGTCTTGGAGCGCCCTCGGGCCGTCTTGGAACTCGCCTGGGCCGTCCTGGGGCCCTCTTTGGGAGCCGCTTGGGTCGTATTGGCCAGATTTCTCGGTCCTGGTGGGCTGTCTTGGCCCGTCGAAAGCATGAGAAAGCCAGAACACGGAAAACCTTTAAAACCTAAGAAAAAAATGTTTCGCCTCCTGAGGGCCTCGTGGTACTCATTTTGAGGGCCTCTTGGCCGTGTTGAGGCCCTCTTGGGTTATCGTAGGCTCTCTTGGAGCGCTTTGGTCATTTTTTGTTTGTTGCTCCGCAAAGCGTGGCGAGGCCCAGGTGCACGAAGCGTGTGCGCACCATCCCAGCAGCCCATCGTATGTCCAGGACTGGGGGCACTGCGCGACGTCGACCGAGGGCGCTTGTGACCCAGCGTGAGCCCGACCCGCGGACGTTTGTATCGAGCTCATGATAAGTAAGATGGAGGGAGGAGGAGAAGGAGGAGGAGGAGCAATAATCAGCAGGCAGCGTGGATGCCAAAAGCGGCAGTCACGCGCATCATCTGCTCGAAAACCCTGGCGCACGCCAGAAATACAAATGCACCGGCCGCAAGAGAAAGAGGAGGAGAAAACTGCGGGATGGAGGCTTGGCTGTCGATGCAGCGTCGCATCGCACAAATGACTCGCAAGCACATTGGAAAGGCCAACCGTGCTTTTTGTCGTGTGTCTCGCGAGACGGAATCTACGACGGCTCCGCCTCCACGAGCTCTGGCCCGTCGCTCGCTGGAAGGATGCCGTACGTATTCAGGGTAGGATGTGAGGAGAAGTAGTGCATCTTGATGTGCTTGATGTTGGTGGTGGCCTTGACCGCCTGGATGGAGTAGCACGTGCGCACAAAACGCAGCAGGTGCGGGAAGTCGGCGAGCCGCTTGTGGCTCGTCTTGAAGTAGACGACATACACCGGGTCAAAACGCACAAGAGTCATGTACAAGCGCAGGTCGATCCACCGGAATTCGGACCCTGTCAAGAAAGCCGTCCCACTTTTGGCCAATAGCGCCTCGAGGCGATCGAGGGATGCAAACAACTCCGCGTGCGCCCGGACATAGGCCTCTTGAGTGCGTGCGAAGCCGCAACGATAGACGCCGTTGTTGACAGTCGGGTAGATATAAGAGTTAAGCTCCTCCGCCGCCGCCGACTCAGCTTTGTTGAACAGCTTGCGCTCGGGGTGCTTGCACCACTCATCGAAGGCACCGTCAAGTATCTGCAGGATCTCCATGCTTTCGTTGGAAACGATGGTACCCTCCTTCTTGCACCAGAGAACAGGGGTGGTGTACTTGCCCGTCTGATCGTTCGCACGCTCGTACAGCTCGCGGATGGTCTTGCAGCCATTGACAGTGTCGGGGATGCACGCGTCATCGCATTCGAACGAACCGTGGCCGAGCTCGTTGGTCACTGGCGCGTCACCGGGAGCTCTGAAGTGCCAGCCAGTGTGTAGATCTTCCGGATCGTCACAGCGGGTGCGGCGCCAAGTCGGATGGACCACGGAGACGCTGATGATGTCCTCGAGGCCCTTGAACTTGAGTGCTGTGAGACAACCATTGGCCCATGGGCAACCGAGCGCCACGTACAGATGGTACCGGCTGGCTTCAGGCTCGAAGCGTGATTCTGATGCTACTCTATTGCTGAAGCCAGCAGCCGATCGCTGGAAATCGCCCTTGCTGTCAATCTCATCAAGTGCTGTGTGTGCCTTGACCATGTTCACGAGATCGACCTATGAAATACTGTCTGCTGCGGCAGCCAGAGACGGCTTGAGCCAAAATGGCTTGAGCCAAAATGTCTACGGAGGAGCGCTTTGGTCAGTCTTGGAGCCCTCTTGGACATCTGTTAGGCCCTCTCGTCGCCCCTCCTCCCCTCCTTCTGACGCGTTTTGGCGCTCCCCGACGGGTCCAAAACCCCCGTGTGCAAAATTCAGTGCTCCCCAGGGCCACTCGGATCGCCTCCCCATACATACATACATATGTGTATATATATATATACACATATACATGTACATATACATATGCATATACATATACATATACATAAATGTGTGTATGTATATGTACGTACGTACATACGTACGTATGTATGTATGCATGCATGCCTGCATGTATGTATGTATGTATGTATGTATGTATGTGTATGTATGTATGTGTGTATGTGTGTGTATGTATGTATGTATGTATGTATGTATGTATGTATGTATGTATGTATGTATGTACATGAGTATGTGTGTATGGATGCATGTATATATAACATACATGTGTGTATGTATTTGTATGTATGCATGCATGCATGCATGTTTGTACGTGTGTATGCGGATGTGCATGTGTGTGTATGTATGTGTGTATGTACGTATGTATGTGTATATGTGTGTATGTATGTATGAATAGATGTATGTGTATGTGTATGTGTATGCATGTATGTATGCATGTATGGATGTGTGTGTATGTATGTATGGATGTATGCGTATATGTATGTGTGTATGCATGTATGTATGTGATGAATATGTGTATGGATGTATGCATGCATGCATGTATGCATATGTATGTGTGAATGGATGTATGCATGGATGTATGTATGTGTGTGTACGTATGTATGTGTATGTATGTATGTGTGTAGTATGTATGTATGTATGTGTATGTAAGTGTGTATGTGTGTATGTGTGTTTGTATGTGTATGTATGTGTACATGCGTACGTATGTAAGTATGCATGGATGCACATAGATATGTGTATGCATGTATGTATGTATGTATGCAGGTATACATGTTCGCTGAACACAGTCATGCACGTACATGCATATTCAATGTATACATAAGCATGTACGTGTACACCAACACATACGACATATAATGTATATACATACAGATGTATGCGTATGCATGCGTATACGTGTGCTCAATGGGGAATTAAGATGTGGGTACATGGAATGCCTGTGGAACAATCGTAAAGAACATATGGATATGTAGGTATATAAGATATATTGGATAAGCACACGTATACGCGTGTGGACATATGATATGGAGCATAGTTTAACACATATATGTTTGCATGAATACGTGCATATGCTTCATGCACCCTTGAACTGTGCGCCACCAGTGTGCTGGCGAGAATACATCAACCGTCCCTGAACCAACCAATACTGTACCAGTACCTGTCAGAAGTCACCTGGCTACAATAAAACACAAATTGAAAGTCGCCGGAAAGAGGATTATCCCACGCATCCCATCTGCGAAGAACTTGCCCTCTTCGAAGGCCGCCGCCTCACCTGGCCCCCGACCACAATCTGTTCAAACCAGTCCCTGGACCCCTTCCCAGGGCCCATCCTGATCAGGCCCCCAAGCTGCGCGACGAGAACCCCAGGAAGCACTCGGCAGGCTCCAAGACGACGACGTCGTCATCGTCAGCTGATCCGCCTGCTCCTTGTACTGCTGCTCCTCCCCCCCCCTCGTCCTCCTCCTCCTGCTCCTCCCCCCCCCCACCCCGAAGTCAGAAATCTGTGGGCTCTCCAGAAGAGGTCTCTGAAAGCATCTGGAAGCCGCAGGAAACCCGAAATGTCAAAAACGATAGAAAACGACGTCTTAGAAAACTACATCTTCCCTCATCTGATGGGCCGATTTTCCACCACCACTACCATACGTGGGAGAAGGAGGAGTAGGAGGGGGAGAAGGAGGACCTCTCCATCCTCCATTCCCTCCCGTCCTACATATGGTGGCGGTGGTGGAAAATTGGCCAATAATCATCCCCCATCTTCCTTCTTCTCCATGAGTGCGAGAAGATCGCCCAGGTACGCACAGACAGCGATAAGAGGGAAGGAGGAGGAGGATGTTGACATACCCGGCCAACGGCCACAGTCAAATGGGGCAAACACCTCGTCCGAGGAGTGCCCGAAACAGCGCTGCTAGTCACACTGAAGCGACCGAGTCTCTAAACGCTCGTGCTGATGCTCCTCCGTCATCCCAATATTCCTCCTATCGTCCTCCTCCTCATCCTCCTTTCAAGACTGTCAAGACGGCAGCAAGTACGACGACGACTGAGCAGAGAAGCAAAGCCATTGCACAATACTCTGATGCAACATCGCGAAAAAACACTACCAGAGCCTTTGATCCCATCTTTCTGCGGCATGTGTCGAGCCGCATCGATCTGTGAGGGTACCAGGGCCCGAAACAAAACAGAATCGCCCACTGTGGGAAATTGCAGCGCCAGGATCTCCGGGTCCTCCTCCTCCTCCTCCTCCTCCTCCTCCTCCTCCTCCTCCTCCTCCTCCTCTTTATTAACGTTGAGCGGACATAAACTGCACAGCTGTTGCGCTCATGGGAGGAAAAGGTGCAATGCAACGAATCAACTCAGGCGCTACGGCCTACACAATCAACCTGGGTGGGCGCAGCAGAAGGCAGGTGGGCGACAGGAGGAAAAGCAAAGAAAGCCAGGTCCGCGCTCACCAGGTCGGGGAGGGGGAGCGGAGCGGAGCGCCACTCGAGCAAACCTGTCGGCTGCTCGGCCCTGTGCAGGGCATGGGTGAACCATCAACATACCGGCTAGACAGATCAGTACTACACATGAGCAGAACTGGGAAATTCGGAACGACCATGCGCTCTCAACTCGGATCAGGAGCGGAAGGGAGCATGTGAAAATCATCTGCACCTCCTCGTCCTCATCCCCACGGGCGAAGGGGCAATCCAGCCGTCGACCCCGGGGGTGTCGGCCCTGCCTTTTCCATGGACCTGAGCGGGCGCCGCGGCGGGGGGGGGAGCGCCGAGGGTGGGAGGGCAATGTGAGGGGGGTGAGGAGGAGGAGGAGCATCAGGAGGAGGAGGAGGAGGAGGAGGAGGAGGAGGAAGAGCATCAGGAGAAGGAGCAGCAGAAAAAGGAGGGGGAGCATCAGGAGAAGGAGTGAGGAGGAGTGGGGGGAGGGAAGGAAGGGGGGATGAGGAGGAGTGGGGGGACGGGGAAGCCAACCGTACCAGTCAATACGGTCATCCGCATAACTGTGCCAGCACACTTGTCAGATCCACCCGCTATCCCCTACCTTGCCAGTGCTAAGTTGAGCTCAAGGCCAGCTGAGACCCTAGTGCTCCTTGTTCACATTGCACTCAAAGCCAGACTAGAATACGAACTTCCGCATACTTTCGCCTGCTTTCCTGATTTGGCATCTCAAAAATCCTGATCCGTTCTATCGAACCGTCGGCTCACACAGTGCCACCATGTAAATGCGAAGCCTCTACAGCAGGGCAAGAAGCACTTTTACCTGCAACACTGTAAGGCACAATGGACTGCTAGTCAGACTGCCCTCGCACATCATCCGTGCCAGCCATAGACCGATCCCTCCGCCCCATGCCACCAGCGGCACACGCACGCATTTCGCCTTACAGCAGCATTCGCCCTACCAGGTAGACAGCGCTGGAACCACCAGCAGAGTGTGTATAACACTAGCCTGCCTCTTTTCAACTCTCGACAAATGTACCCTGAAGCCAGAGGGACATGTTCAACGTAAGGCTGCCTTCGGGATCCCACGCATGCCCAAACACACAGAGCCCGTTTCAGACAGGAAATAAACTGCCGACCCAGCCAGCGCCAGCACAGTAGTATCACCCACTTGCCATCGAGGATCGGCAATCGGTTCGATTTAAGGTTGACGACGGCAGTTCTGGAGGATCGAGAGACACACGGATGACACTGGCTACGATATTTTTCGACGCAATTTTGGCCCGCCAGTAGGGAAACAGGTCCTGCCCTCAGTGGTCGACCGGCAGCAAGCGCCTGTATCCACAACCGGTGCAGCCCGCATCACGTTCAGTAGATAGTTTCCTACCACCAAGGTGTCCTCCATCGATCGCTCTCGTTTTGCTATTCACATACGCAGATCACCTTGTCACTTGCGGTCGTCGGCGTTAGCCTCGTCGCGCCTGTGGGTGCGGTGGGCGAATTCCCGTGAAGGCTGCAGAACAGCCAGAAGCACAAGCTGTTCAGGAAATGGAGGGTGAGGTCGTTGAACAGTTGGGGGAAGTGCGAATGTGCGTCCACATCGCACTCTGCGCAGTCTGTGGATGGGTGCTAATAATTGGTGAAAGGGTGAAAGGTAGAAACATGGCGGCACCGGCAACCGACGAGTCTTTCAGGGGCCCGGACCCCAACTTGCCAACTCTCCCGGGTTTAGACGCGCACCCCCTGGGCTTCCCCGCATCTCCCCGCGTAACTTGCTGGGGCCCAAGAATGCCCCAAGACTGGCAAAAAAGGCCCCCAAGAGGGCCTCGAGACGCCCAAAAGATCGCCCCAAGACGCCCAAGATGACCCCCAGACCTTCCAAAGTCTGCAAGACGCCCCAAGAGGCTCCAAGCGGTCTCCCCAGAAGACCCCGAAAGACCAAAGTCAGTAAATGCCATTGGTTTTTGAAGGTTTTTGGTCTTCGCGCCAAGAAGCCCCCAAGATCGTCCCCAGACGGCTCAAAAGGCCGCCAAGACGGCCTCAAGACTGCCCCAAGACAGCCCCAGAGGCGCCCAAGACTGCCCAAGAGGGCCCCGAGACGGTCCCAAGAGGAGTACAAGAGGGGGACCACGAACCAAAAAATTCGAGCTCTGCGCCCCGAGAGGGCCCCAGGAGGCCCCAAGAGGTGCCCCCAAGAGACCCCATGAGGCCCCCAAGAGGCCCACTCGAGGCCACACGAGGCCCCATGACGGCCCCGCAGAAATCCAAAACGGCCTCAAAGAGGCCCCCGAGAGGCCTCCCGCGACATCCCAACGAAATGAGGTGGACATGTGGGGATTCCCGCGTCGAGCAAGTCCCATTATGATCACTACTGTCAGAATAGACAAAGTACGAACAAGAAGAAGAATAGTAGTAATACGGATTACCATTGTTAACAACACAGAATGCACAACCATATAAAAATACTGATGATGATAGTAATAATAATAATACTAATACTAACCGTAACCGTAGCATCGATAGAAATAATACTAGAAGTAACAATACTAAGTACAATAATGTGAACATCAATAAAAATACTAACAGTGACCGTAATAGTCATCAAAGTAAGAATGAGAGTGATAGTAATAGCAACAGGAATAACAACAGTAACATCAAAATAATAGTAATAGCAGTAGTAGTAAGAATCGTAATAGTGATGGTAATAGGAGTAGTAAGAGTAGTCGTAATAAAAATAGTAATGGAAATACGAATGGTACTAGAGACAGTAATAGTAATAATGATGGAAATAGTAATAGTAAAAGCAGTAGGAATAGTACGAGTACTCGTACTACATTACTGACAATATAACTAGTAAGCATAACAAGAGTCATAGCAATAGCAATATCCATAGTACAATTAAAAGTAAAAATACGGGTAATAATAATAGTAATAACAATCATAATCGCAATGGGAGTAGCAATAGTAACAGCACGAGTACGCACAATAATATTTGTACTAATAGGAATAAGAGTACGAGTACAAGTAAGAGGAATAGTAATAGCAAAAATGATCCGAATAGTGATAATGAGAGTAAGAATAACAGTAATACGAATGGAAATAACGATATCAATAGTAATAGCAATAGTAATGGGAATAGAAAAAGCAATGGCAGCAGTAGTACTAAAAGTTATAGCAGCAGTGATAGTACTAGCAATAATAATAGTAATCGCGATAGAAGTAGTAATTGGAATCGTAAAAGTAGTGGAAATAATGATCGTAATATTATAATACGTGAACTAATATTGGAAAAGTAATGGTAATACTGCTGGGAAAGGTAAAACTGATAGTGAAAATAAAAATAATAGTAGCAACAGCAATAAGAATGGGAATCGTAATAGTGATAGTGATCATATAGGTAATATCACTAAACATAGAAAGGGTAACAGTACGAATGTAAAAGAATAGCAATACTAAAGGAGCTAAAAAAAATAGCAGTGGGAAAAACAGTAGTAGTACGAATAATAGCAGTGCTACTAGTAATGCTAAAAGTCATATGAATAATGATAGTAAAAGTAGTCAGAATCATAATAGTAGTAGTAGTAGCACTTACTTATAACACTACAAATATTAAAATTAATAATCGCAATGAGAAAAAGACTACCAACAGAACGACTAGAAATAATATTCAGAGTACGAATGCTATCACTAAACTAATTGCAGTATTGAGCACGACGAGTATACCGTTACTACTACCAGTACTACTAACACCAACACTAGTCATACTAGTACGTGTATTCAGTAGTAGTGCTCACATGAATATCAATACTTTTGTTGTTCGTACTAATACCATTGGATAAATATCATTCGGCGGAAGAGTCGCGGCCACCGGGCATCGCGCCCTGCGCGCCGCGGGACGCGCGGCGCAGGCGTCGCGCCTGCATCCTCGCGCCCGCGCGCCGCGCCCATTGGGAAGAGCGACGCTCTGGACTCTGGCCAGCTGCGCGCGAAGCGCACTTATCTTCGCGCCCGTACAGCCCTTGGAGAGATAGAGCCCCAGGGATGGCAAAGGGATCACAAGCTGAACCTCCTCTGTTCGGGGCTGTCCGTCCTCAGGGCCCTTCGGTGGCAACTCATGGGAGACTCCCATGGCATAGTGGTGGCTCTCGCGAATCGGCGCTAATCGACGCCAAGTCGACGCTGGTCGACGCGACATGAACGCTCATCGACGCTGTCAAGCGCTAGCGCACGCTAACTAATGCATTCCCAAGACGGAATTGCGAGAACCCACAGGGCTCCCAGGAATTGCTCCCGAACCCACCCCTCAGGTCCCCACCTTCGAACCGCCGACGAGGGGGGCGAGGAGCTGGCCACGACGAGCGACGGGCCACGTCGTCCACGGCGCTCGAGTGCGCGAGCCCCGCCGCGGGGGCCCGAGGAGCAGAAGATGCAGGCGCCACGGAGGGGAAGCACGAGGCAGCGAGCGAGACAGCGGGCAGAACCAGTCAGCATCAAGCCGAAAAAAAACGGACCAGCTCGGTCGGAACGCGTCTTGAAGGCGGGAGGTGGGAGCGGGCAAGATGCCTCCGCGGCTGGTGCCCACCCGCGGATGCCGCCACGCACCGAGGGCTAACGTGAAGCCATCGTGACGAGTCTGGGGAGGCACGGCACAGGTGAGAAAGCGGTGACAGGACCAGGCAGCATCGCATCGGAAAAACGGACCGCATCGGAACGTCCGTCGGAGCTGGCCGCGTCGGCACGAAGCCAGAGTGGCACATGAGCGGCCGCGCAGGGGTGCGCGACAGCGCCGTGCAAGCATCGGGCCGCATCGGACAGAAGAATGTCGGAATTCAAGGGGCCTTGGGAAACACAAATAAAGAGACACATAACACCGGATTCCCCATATGTTCTCATAGTTTCTGGGTTTTGCCTTCCCCCCACTTCCCATATGTTCCCATCTGTTCTTGGGAATCGATGATTACTTGTGTCTGTGTGTTTTCCCTCCTGGGGAATTTCGGAATCTGAATCGATCGGACCGAAATGTACCCTGGCGGGTGGGCTGGAGAGTTCGGGTCATTGTCTCAAAGAGCAAATTATCCTGGCGAAGGGCACAACCATATGCAAGCGTGAGAACCGCAAGACGAATGGATTGTCAAAAAAAGGCCGCGGCCACGCATGCAACTCCTGCAACTAGGGCATCCCGTGGAACTCTGCATGGGGCCACGAACCGTGCGAGGGGCGTGCCGAGACGAAGGGGCCGCCATGCGACTCCTGCCACCGGGGTCTTCGGTGGAGCTCCGTATCTTACCACTGGGGCCTTCGGTAGATCTCCGTATGGGGCCACGATCCGCGTGAGTGGCGTTCCAAAATGACTGCGGCCACGCATGCGACTCCTGCCATTGGGGCCTTCGGTGAAACTCTGTATGGGGTCGCGAACCGTGCGAGGGGCGTGCCGAAACGAAGGGGCGGCCGCCATGCGACTCCTGCAACTGGGGCCTTCGGTGGAGCTTCCCATGGAGCCGCGAACCGTGTGAGGGTTGTGCCGAAACGAAGGGGCGGCCGCCATGCGACTCCTGCCACTGGGGCCGTCGGAGCTCCTTATGGGGCCACGAACCGTGTGAGGGGCTTGCCGAAACGAAGTGGCCGCCATGCGACTCCTGCCAATGGGGCAGTCGGTGGAGCTCCGTATGGGGCCACGAACCGTGTGAGGGGTGTGCCGAAACGAAGGGACGGCCGCCATGCGACTCCTGCCACTGGGACCTTCGGTGGAGCTCCCTATGGGGGCACAAACCGCGTGAGGGGTGTACCGAAAAGAAGGGGCGGCCGCCATGCGACTCCTGCCACTGGCGGCCTTCGGTGGAGCTCCCCATGGGGCCACGATCCGTGGGAGGGCTGCCGAAATGAACACGTGGAGAGGAGCAGCAGGAGGAGGAGGGACGAGGGAGGAGGAAGGAGGACGGAGTGAACGCGGGGCGCTGCGGTTTCAAAACGAGGACCCAACCCAACAGGATGGCTGGGAAAAACACAAACATGAACTTTCGGAGATCCGCGCCAATTTCTTGGATCGGCGCTCCCCCCTGCCTAGCGCGCAGTGCGCGCCAGGGGCTGCGCCAGAGGCGCCACCAGGGGGGTCCAGCGCCGATACAAGAAATTCCGTGCGGAGCTCCGAAAGCTTATGTTTATGCAGTTGTTGCTCTTCTTCGAATTCGGGCCACTGTCGCTGTCATCCCCGTCTCAAGCCAGAGGTGCCGGGAGAGGGCCTTGGCCCTGGTGTTGTCGCTCATGCCGATGGCCAGGATGGTGACGATCGTGCCGGGTCGGATGACAGCCTTTGGCTCGCTGTCCCGGTTCTCGGCCACCCGCACCTGGGTTCCCAGACATGTTCGCGTGGTGAAAAACATAACAAAAAAAAACGGCGCGAGGTTTTGGGCCATTTTCTGCCTCCTGGTGCCGTCTCCCGGCCCAGGACCGCCAAAAAATGACTCGGAATGGAAAAGTGGCCCTGGGGACAGGGTCGGGACGCTGGGGGGGAGCCGCATTTAAAAAATCCAACGACTGCGTCGGTATGTGTGTGTGTGAAAGGCTTTCCCAATCAAGCCGTCGTCGTCGTCGCCGCCAACCTCAAACGTTGCAGCCAGAGGGAAACCGAGCAACGTCGTAGTTGACTCGAAGGGAAGCTCCTTCCCTTCGATCCCTCCCTCGCCGGGGCGGGGGGGAGTCCTGGGAGTTGTGACCCCCCCCGGGTGGGTGGGGGCACCCCTCCCTGGGAGAGGCTTTCGGCTCCAGAGCGTAAGCGTCGTCGTTGTCATCGCCGTCGTCGTCGTCGTCCCCCTTCAGGGTCGGCGGCAGCGGCTGCAAAGCCTTCGCACTTAAGACGTCGCACGTCGGGGGCTCAACTCCCGCCAGTGACCCCTCCTTCCACAGTCTTCGACCAGAACAACCACGAAAAACTGAAGACGAGGGTGCCAACAAAATGCCCCAGGCAGACCAGGGGACACGCGAAGGCCAACCTGCCATAGGCGAAACAACGTGCGGCTCCGTCGCCTGTGCAAACAAAGGAGCGTTGTCTTGTGCACGTAGCCGAAGCATGAACCTCCCTTCCTGCCAGAGTCTAAGTTTGACACGGTGAGCCTTGGACGAGGAACGAAGCCTCTGTCTTGGGCTTCGGTCCTGACTAGGTGCGCGAAAAGCGCCACGGGAAAGCAGTTTGAAGGACCCAGGGAACACCTATCCCCTTCAGAAACCAAGCAAGACCTAGTCTCAAAAAAATCACCGGCCCAACGGGCCAAATGCGTGCTAAAATCTCGAGGTCCCTGAACAAAAAGCACCCCATGCAAATCCCGGGCGGTGACTGGGCGGTCCCCGTCACAGATACCGGAACTCTTGGGGGCTGCCTTCAGGTCAAGAGCGTCTCAAGAGGCCCCCCTAGGCGGTCTAAGAGGGCCAAGAGTCACCGGAAGTCTTTCCAAGATAACCAAGATATCGCCTCCAGAAGGCTTCAACCGCCTCCAAGACGCCCGAAAATGCCTCCAAGACCACTCCCTGGAAGCCCCCTAGAAGCAAAATTCAACGATTTCCGATTGGTTTTTCAAGGTTTTCAGCGTTCTCACCTTTTCGGCCGCCGACGCTCTAAGACGAGCCAAGAAACCCTTAATATCGCTACAAGACGCCTCCATGAGAGCTCCAAAACGGCCCACGGGGACTCCAAGAAGGCTCGAGTTTATCCCAAGACGGCGCTGGAGAGCCCCAAGACACCTCCAGAAAAACTCCTCGAGGGGGAGCCCCAACGGACAGTTCGAGCGTTCGGCCTCAAATCGCCCCAATACGGCCTAAGAGGCCTCTAAGAGAACCCCACCACGGCCCAAGAGGGCCCCAAGACGGCCCCAGAGGCCTCCAAGACGGACAGAGAGAGCCCAGGACGGCCCCAAGAGGGGAGGAAGCCGAACGAGCATTTCGAGCCTTCGGCCCCAAGATGCGTCCAGGCTGCCCCAAGCGGCCCCTAAGAGCCCCCCAAGAGGGTCCAAGAGGCCCCCAAGAGGCGCCAAGACAGCCCATAGAGGCATCCAAGGCGCCGCCAGGAGGCCCAGAAGAGCCCCGAAAACTGCTACACAAGAGTACCCCTAGAACCCTACGAAGAGACACCAAGAAGCATACATAAAGAATATCACCCACAACCGCAGCAGCGCCAACCAGCACAATACGGGCCGGCGGAATGAGCGAAGCGATTCGTTAACATAGATTAGTCATAAAAGGGAGGCCTCATTTGGGAGGGGGTCAGATTTGAGCCGTCTTGCAGGATTCTGGCGGGTCTTGGCAAAAGGCGGTCGTTTCACGACTGGTCTGCGGTGAGATCTAAAATTCTCCCCTCTGGGAGGGCTGTCGCCCTCTTCCTATCTGACATTAGCTGCCACCTTGGTCCGCCTGCCAAAACGCGGTCCCGGGCCCTCCGAGGGTACAGAGAGGGATGGCAGGCAGCTCTGCTCAGATGAACGGTCGTCGCAGCCGAATATGCCTCTCTCCATTGCTAAGACGAAGCTAGGACGACAACAAATTCGGACGAAGATAAATCGGGAATTTCTAGAGAATGTATCTCGCGCCACGGCCGTTTCAAAACGGTCCAGAATACTCTGAGCGTGTTCCAGTACGCTTTAGAGCGATTCATCCTCCTCCTCATCCTGGAGCAAGCCCCTACGGGGGGGAGGGGGCGAGATTTCAGCGTCAGGGGAAGGATTCGCAAATGGTCGCAACTGAGCCCTCCGGAATGTACGAGACCGCATGACGTTCACACCACAGCGATTGCACGTCTCTGATCCTCTGCGCACGAGCGCTGCGGGGGCACCGTCAGGTCGAAGAGTACTTGGTGCTCACCGTTGACCTTAAAGCCTGCCAAGACAAACTGGAAGTCCCTGCTACGCTTGATGACAAGAGGCTCGTTCAGCTGTGTCCTTAATTTAGGCGGCGCACCTGGGGGGGAAGTGAGCAAGGGCGGGCCTTCTCAGAAGGCTCGGAAGTCCCCCGGCCTTATGAAAAGATTTCTCAGCCTTCCCCGAAGACAGAAAAACCTCTCAGAGGGCGCGAGGGCTTCTGAGAAGTCCCACCGCCTTCCGAGAAGGCCTTCTCCTTCTCATTTCCGCCCCTCGCTAGCCGCCGATGATCAGCGGACGAAGAACGGTCCAAATTGCAACGTGCCGCCACCAGGGACGCCTGGCCGAGGGCGGCTGGAAATGTCCCTAGAACGGACCCCCAGGGCGACACGTCGGAGTAGAATTAAGTCGGGCGTGTCCCCCAACATGGGGATTTTCTACGAAAAATAAGAAATACCCCAAAAATAATCAAAAAATAATCCAAAAATAGTATGGGGACTATTTTGGGAATATGTTTGTTGTCTTTTTTGATGCATTTTTGGCGTATTTTTGATTATTTTTTTTTTCGAAAATCCCCCTGTAGGGGGACACGCCCGACATAAGAGTAGAAATGTTCCGGACGCCCTGGGACAGGCGTCCCCGAGGGTGGACACGTTGATTATGCACCTCTCTCCGTCCGCCGAAAGCGGCACGGGCTGGACAGAGACGTCGGGGCAGCACTTCCCAGCCGCCTTGGGACGGGCGCCCCCCGAGGGTGGAAGAGCTGACTCTGTACCCCTCTCCGTCCGCCACGAGCGGCAGGGGCTGGACGGAGCGAGGGACGGAGAGAGGCGCCCGTCGAGACCCCGGCGGCTCTCTCCCGCCCGAGGTCCGCTCGAGAGCGGCCCCCGGGGCCCTCCCCGGGGGTCCGTCCTGACCATGCTTTTCGGGGCGGGTCCGGCCCCGGCGAGGAGAAGTCTCCGAGTGGCAGCGAGAAGGACGACGCATGCCCAGGGAGGGGCGCCGCTGACTCGACTGGCCATCTCCTCCGAAGAGCCGCATTCGCGCGCGCGAGCGCGCCTGACACGGGTCACGAGCAGTCGGCACCGAGTCGGGAATCGGATCGGCTCGGCGCGTGCGTCGGCTCGGGCCGCACGGGCACAGAACCGAGATCGACCTGGCTCGAGGGCGCCGTGCAAGCACCGGGCCGCAGCTGGTCGTCGGAACATCGGAGGCCCAGGCTAATGTGAGGAGGGCTGGGGCCTGGCTTCCCAGTGCAACGTCTAGCACATTGTTGGAGCAGTGCTTCCACATCTTAGGCATGCACATGACCAGTGGGCAGTTTGGCTCAGAAGAGTCCCGCAAGGGACGAAACGTCAGCCTCATACCGACAAAACACTTGCATCAGAGCGCTTTCACCGTCCAGTTGGAGTGTTTTGATTCGATCGGATCGGGCCAACTGGGTCGTCGTCGTCGTCGTCGTCGCCCCCCCCTCAGGGTCGGCGGCACCAACCGCATGGCCTTCGCAATGTGTCGGAATCGGATCGGATCGGACAAGCCGGTTCGGAGTGGACCCTGGCCAGCCGCAACTTGTATCGAGTCGGACCGACCAGGTCGAAGTGGGGGCGTCTTGGGCCGTCTCGGGGTGATCCTCGTGGCCTATTGACCCGTCTTGGGGCGTCGAAAGCCCGCAAAGGCGAAAGCACTGAAAACCCGCCAAAAAACCCGGCACCTCCGTCCGCTCCAACTGTATCGATGCGTGGGCCCCCGATGTCTGGACCACTGCCCTAAGGGACCAGTGTCTCGTCCTGAGTCGTGCTTTGATCCCGAGGCCGGACGAGGGCCCCCAGAGGCCGAAAACAGCCAAAAACCGGCCGCTCCAATTTTGAGCTCAGGAAACTAAGAAGAAACAAATATATAGATATATATATATATATATATATATATATATATCGTGCCACGTCGCCCGCTACAGCCGCGCCCCGCCGCGGCGACCCCGAGGAGCGGAGGATGCCGGCGTCGCGGAGCGGCGGCCCTGGCAGGAAGCGAGGCAGCGGGCACGCCCCCGGTCAGACAGCACCGGGTCGGGAGATCGGGTCGGGCGCCCGAGGTGCTCTCTCCAGCGAGGGGGGGGGAGAGGTGGGGCGTGCAGCGCGCATCTATAGGATGGACAGCGCACGGGCGCCGAGAGGGGCGCAGGACGAGGAAGGGGGTGCGCACGATGGACTGCGCGCTTCGGCACGATGCACCGCTTCGTCGGAACGCGCGTCGGGATCGGGCCGCATCGGCACGGAGTCGGAGTCGGATCGGATCGGATCGCAGCGGCCGCGCCACGATGCACAGCAGCGCCACGCAGGCGTCTGGCACCATCGGATCGTTTAGATATCGAAGTCAGATGGCGACGTCCGAACCAACCCCCGCCGGCCATGGATACTCCTGAATCGACGGGAGGCGGAGGAGGAGGAGGAGGAGGAGGAGGAGGAGAAGGAGGAGGAGGAGGGGGAGGAGGGGGAGGAGGAGGGGGAAGAGGAAGAGGAAGAGGAGGAGGAGGAGGAAGGCATGAACGATTCTTGCCCCGGTGCCGGTGCCGGTGCCGGTGCCGGTGCCGGTGCCGGTGCCGGTGCCGGTGCCGGTGCCGGTGCCGGCGCCGGTGCCGGTGCCGGTGCCGGTGCCGGTGCCGGTGCCGGTGCCGGTGCCGGTGCCGGCGCCGGTGCCGGTGCCGGTGCCGGTGCTGGTGCCGGTGCCGGTGCTGGTGCTGGTGCCGGTGCCGGTGCCGGTGCTGGTGCTGGTGGCCGGTGCTGGTGGCCGGTGCCGGTGCCGGTAGCCGGTGCTGGTGCCAGTGCCGGGCCGTGCCGGTGCCGGTGCTGGTGCCGGTGGCCGGTGCTGGTGCGGGTTCTTGTTTTCCCAGAACATCCTCTCCTTCTCCCTCCCGCCTCCCGCCTCCCAGCAGTGCCCCTCCCGCCCCTCCAGGGAGGCCCCGCCTGAGCGAGGAGGGTAACGGAAACCCATGCTATTTACATGGTTTCGTGCCCTTCCCACCTCTCCAGGGAGGCCCCGCCTGAGCGAGGAGGGTATCCCACCCCTCCAGCAGGGAGGCCCCGCCTGACTGAGCGAGGAGGGTATCGGAAACCCATACTATTTACACGGTTTCGTGCCCCTCCCACCCCTTCAGGGAGGCCCCGTCTGAGCGAGGAGGGTATCGGAAACCCATAGTATTTACATGGTTTCGTGCCCCCCCCTCCCCTCCAGGGAGGCCCCGCCTGAGCGAGGAGGGAATCGGGAACCCGTACTATTTACATGGTTTCGTGCCTTTCCCACCTCTCCATGGAGGCCCTGCCTGAGCGAGGAGGGTATCGGAAATTAATAAAGATTACATGGTTTCGTGCTCCTCCCACCCCTCCAGGCAGGCCCCGCCTGAGCGAGGAGGGTATCGGAAACCCATACTATTTACATGGCTTCGTGCCCTTTCCACCCGCCTGAGCGAGGAGGGTATCGGAAACCCATACTATTTACATGGTTTCGCGCCCTTCCCACCTCTCCAAGGAGGCCCCGCCTGAGCGAGGAGGGCATCGGAAACCCATGCTATTTACGCGGTTTCGTGCCCCTCCCACCCCTCCAGGGAGGCCCCGCCTGAGCGAGGAGGGTATCGGAAACCCATGCTATTTACATGGTTTCGTGCCCCTACCACCTCTCCAGGGAGGCCCCGTCTGAGCGAGGAGGGTATCGGAAACCCATACTATTTAAATGGTTTCGTGCCCCTCCCACTGACATGGGTGAGGAGGAGGGGAGAACATTACCTATCCATCTCACGTCCTACTCCTCCCACTGAGGAGGGTGAGGAGGAGGGGTAGTTCTGCGATGAGGAAGGCTTCATCATGATGATGGTGATGACGATGGTTATACTGCTGTTCACGATGACGATGACGATGGCGATAATGGTGATGGACGATGACGATGGCGATAACGGTGATTATGATGATGATGCTGATGATGATGACGATGATGATGATGACGATGACGATGATGACAACGATGGCGACGACGACGAGGATGATGATGCAGATGCTGGTGATGATGACGATGCTGCTGCTGATGCTGACGTTGCTGGTGCTGTTGATGATGATGACGACGATGATGCTGATGATCATGACGTCCACGATGATGCGGACGAAGATGATGCCACGGACGGTGATGGTGATGATGATGACGATGCTGATGCTGCTGATGATGATGATGATGACGATGGTGGCGACGACGATGATGATGATGACGATGACGCTGGCGATGATGATGATGATGCTGATGATGATGAATATGATGATTATGGTTATGATGATGCCGATGATGCTGACGATGATGATGATGATAATGATGATGGTGTTGATGATGTTGATACTGATGATGATGACGATGATGCTGATGATGACGACGACGACGGGGTGACGACGATGCTGCTGATGATGCTGATGATGGCGACGATGATGATGCTGGTGATGATGATGATGATGATGATGATGATGATGCCGAGGATGAGGAGGACGAGGAGGAGCAGGACGAAGAGGAGGAGGAGGAGGAGGAGGAGGAGGACTCGCTTGAACGAGGAGGGTCGCGGACAGCATTACTCTTTACCAGGTTTCGTAGGCCCCCCCCTTCCAGCGGGGCCCCGCCAGAGCGAAGAGGGCATCTTCAACCAGTACTATTTACAAGGCTTCGTTTCCTGAGCACCTGTCCTCCCTCCTCCTTTCTTTCGTCTGCCCTTTCGTGCGTACTTACTCGTTCGATGAGCTTCTCCTTCGTGTTGATGTTGTCGTACCCCATGGGTCCCACGAAACTGTTAATACTTTTCATGTGGGGAACTGCTTTTGCATAATTTTACAATTGATTGGACTGCAATCGATTCCACTGGGTTTGCACTTGATTGGCTTGCAACCGATTGGATTGCAACCGCTGGGGGGGCGCACAGGGCAGCGACGAGGAGGCGGCGACGGGACGGCGACGGCGACGAGCAAGGAACCGCCAGACCGTCTCTCAGGCCAGGACGACGGGCGGCGACGACGCAGCAAGGGGGGGCGACGGCAAGGACGGAAAAACCAGACCGCCCCTCAAGCCCAGACGACGACGGGCGGCGACAGGGCGGCAACGGCGAGGAGGAGAGAGCCGCCAGACCGCCCCTCAGACGACCCAGCTAATATTAGGAAAGAAGAGAGAAGGCCCCTTAAGTGCAAGCACTGTTTGGGAAATGTCATGATGTTCAATGCCAATGATGTTTTTCATCCAGTGCCAGTGCTGGCGCCGGCGCCGGTGCCGGTGCCGGTGCCGGTGCCAGGGCTGGTGCCGGTGCGGTTGCGGGTGCGGGTGCAGTGCCGGTGCTGGCGCCAGCGACGGCGACGGCGCTGGTGCCCGTGCCGGTGCCGGTGCCAATGCCGCCGGCGCAGGCGCCGGTGCCGGTGCCCGTGCCGGCGCCGGTGCCGGTGCCGGTGTCGGTGCTGGTGCCGGTGCCGGTGCCGGTGCCGGTGCCGGTGCCGGTGCCGGTGCCGGTGCCGGTGCCGGTGCCGGGTGCCGGTGCCGGTGCCGGTGCCGGTGCCGGTGCCGGTGCCGGTGCCGGTTGCCGGTGCCGGTGCCGGTGCCGGTGCCGGTGCCGGTGCCGGT